ATAATTTTGCTTATTTTATGGAATAAAAACTAAAATTAATATCATTTTGTTAAATAATTTTTAAAAGAAGATGCTCGGCCATGTTAAAAATCTCAAAAAGGATCAGTAGAATTTTGCTGAAATAAAGATGTTGATTGTTGGGATTTTTACCGAGCTTATACTAATAAATAGAACCGCATTTATCACCTTTATTTAGGCTCCTTATAACTACCTACTTTGTATATCATATTTACAGGTTATATTAAAAAGTAATAAAAAGGTAAAAAAAAAAATTCAAAGATTCCTTAATTTTAAGGCTGCCCGTTTACACGGCATCTACCACATTTCCAATAAAACCCCCTACATTTAAGATTCTGTTGCTTTTTAAAAGGATTGCCAAATATATTTTTTTTCTTTCTTAATAATCACATAAAATCTTCTCTTTTATTTTTTATACACCCCCCCCCCAATTTCCGATTCTTTTTATTGGGTTTCAAGGGTTTCAAAACTCAATTTTTTTCTTCCTAATCACCCGAATCTCTATTTCGTATTGATACAATGCAAGACGAAAATTTAGAATATTGGCCCTCTAGAATCAAGCTGTGAATAAGTTTTGAATCTTGTTTTTCTTTCTTTCTAAGCTTTATTGTATATGACTTGTATATATATATCAATACCCCAAAAAATACTTGATACAATACTAATACAATTTATGGGGAAAAAAGACAGGAGTACCTATAAAAAGTGAAACTATTTACCCTGCCCTATCCCATAAAATTGTAATTCTACCTCACTAAATAATTACAATCTCCTACCGCATTTAATAAAATAAAATGGGAAATATCAAAATAACTACCCCACGCTTAATGCCTAATACTATAAAAACCCAAAAGCCTGCTCAAAATTTCAGAAAATAAGCGCACAAAATTGAGATTCCACATACATTCCCTAATTTGAAAGGATCGCTAAGTGGGTGAAAACAAACAGTCGAAGATGCTGATTTGCATCTTGTTTTTCGGATTTTGAATTTCGCTGTTGTTTTGAGATTTTGGACTTCCCTATTTTTTTCGGATTTTTTGAATTTCGCTGGCAAAGAGCAGAATCTCAAAATATAAAGTATTACAGAAGTTTAGCGCTCAACATCTGAATTTTTTAGCTGAAATTCTAATCTCGGTTTGGAGATCTGGAGATCTAGAGGTTTGATTTCGAAAAATCTTGCTGTTGAAATTCAATATTTTGACATCAACGCTATTGAAATTTGCATTGTTGAGATTCATTTTGGACATAAAAGTGGATTATATACTTCAGAATCATGGAAAATAATACCAATTCTTCTGCCTGTAGCATAGTGGAAGAATGGGATGATAACAATAATTTTCAATAAATTTTCATGTTGATCAATTCCTAATAAAGACATATTGGAAATTTGACAACTTCTTAGAGAAATTGCAAAGCAACTGCATTTAAGGAACAGAACAACCAAATAGTTTTATTCAGTATGCCCTAATTGCCTCAAGGATATCCACCAATTACAATTTGCAGCGATATGAGTGTTAGTGTTATGGTTGGAATAAGTGCAGGGATGACACACTTCCCTGTGTGTGTCCGTTTGCTAAAAACACCTAAATCGCTGCCAAGCACCTCCGTTTCGATGTTGCTCAATTTCATCAGAATTGCACAATTTGGAAAGCACCTGATATGATTAGTACGTTTGATGTGCAAGAAGGAGATGTACGCCATTTTTTTACAACTTGGATGATGCAAACATCATAACTGATTCAATTTCATCAAAATGTTGAAAAGGATAAATTACAAAGAACAAGAACCTGCTGGCTACTGTTTGCGTGCCGTTAGAGAAAAATTCAATATCGGGTAATATAATCAATGCCCAAGAAGGTTCGTCTGCATTTTTTTTCAAGTAAAAATATGTGATACCAACCTAATATAGTATATAAGTAGCTAAATTCAGTAAAATACTATGCGAGTATGGAATTGTATTGGTTTTGTCTGTATTTTTTTATCAGTAGATACTGGGTATAGTATATAAGTATGCTATATAGTATATCTATGCAGTATAATAATTGTATTGGTTTTGTCTTTTTGTTATTAATCAGTAAACATAATACCAATTAATAGTATATATGTTATGCTAAATCAGTAATAACTAATGTGAGTATAGAATTTTGCTAGCTTTGGTTTCTATGTTTTTTTTATCAGCAAAATATGATCGATAAGTATATAAGTATAAACCAACAGAGTTATACTATGTGAACTATATAATTGTAACGGTTTTTTTTGTGTGTGTTTTTTATCACAAAACATGATACATAACTGTATTTTATTAATAAACAGGTAACTAATCCTTGGAATGCGTGGGATGAAAGATGTGCACTTGGAGGACTTAAAGCATCAAGCCCTGCGAGCTCAAATCTTTTCAAAAGTTGACGGATTTCAATTCTGTCCACAGTGTGTTTTAACTGAAGAAGATTTTGTTTCACAAGCAAACTGTCTCAGCTTTTGTTGCAGGCTGGTGGTACAAGATAAAACTTGTTGGACCGAAACATATATACAACCAAGAGATATTTCCAGAAAAGACATCCAAAAAAAGCATATGGTATTGGAACTTAAGCTACATGCAAACGCGTGGAGATCAAAAGAAAAGCAAACGCAATTGTTTGAGAGGACACCATGGTGAGTCATACAAGAAAATGCCAACAAATTTTATATGTTAAGAGTACGCTACCCAGGATCAGTGAAACGACTACACACTGAAGGAGAAGGAAAACCTAAATCCTAACAGTTCGACAGATTACCTGAATAGGCCCATTGGACATTTGGGGCCTGATAAGAGAAGAGATTTTTACATGGTTGCTCCTTCTTTCAAAAGGAAATTTTACCGCCTACAGCAAAGGTTAACATCTTATTTATTTTAAATAAATACCATTTAAAAAATTATATTCTATAGATACCTTTTAATGTTTATAGCAAAATATCTAATTTTGGTTACCTCCTACCCCTAAGCCACTAAATACGCTATTCAGTTACACTATTTTCTTTCTCTCTTTACTTTGATACATGCCATTCTCTTCCCCCATTCCCTAAAAACACGATGCTCAATCTCAAAATTCCTCTCACCCATATCACCTACCACATAACATAAACTGCAACAGAACAAATTCACATCAAAATTACGTTTTCTAACTTGATTCTTTCTCATTTCCTGTCGGAGTTCACGTTTTATTTGCCAACTTAGATGCCCAAAAACTAGTAGTTTGTGAATTCCGCTCCATTTGTCTCTTCCTTCTTTCGGGTCCAATTCAACTGTGTAACAGGGGATCTTGCTCCTTCTGCTACTCAATTTGATTATTTTTTTTCATGTTGTTTGCTTTGGTGATTTGGGGTTTTTTAGATGGATGATGACAAAGAGGGAGATTTGCTGTACAGAGTTGAAGATATGATTGACTTCTGCAGTTACTGCTAACAAAGAATGATGAGAGACAAGAGGGACATAAGGCCTGTAGTTTTGATGTTGAATTTGTAATTTTGATGCGCGGGAACAGTGAGATTCAGGGTTTTTGCTCGACGGCGGATTCGGCAAAAATTAGGGTTTGTTCTTGAACAAAGACGACGGATTTTGGGGCTGAGCAACTTGATTTTCTGTTAATGTATTTCAATGTATTTTCAACGTATCATGCTGTATTTTCATGTATTTCATTGTATTCTTGTCTTTTTTTTCATTCTAATTCAATGTATCTCGCTGTATTCTATGTATTTCATTATATTCACTGCCTTTTTTTTTTATTGTATTTCAATGTATCCCGCTGTATTATATGTATTTCATTGTATTCACTGTCTCGCTATATGCCATGAATGTATTCATATGTTTTTTTTTAATTAATATAATTTATGTATTCAGGTGTATTATATAATTTCTCTGAAGATTGCTATGTTTTTGGGGTATTTTTCGGTTGAGAATATTTTTTATAACTGGAAATACAAAATTTGTGTGTTATAATTGAGTTTGTTGAGTTATATTATGAGTCTATTATGTTAATTGATTCACTTTCAGTTTAAAACAGTGTAATCCCCTGTTTCACATCGTAAATACAGTCGAATACAATAATTTGTCCAGCTGTAATCCCATGTTTCACGCCATGAATACAGTCGAATACACTCGAATACAACAACTGATTAGCTGGACTTCCCTGATTCACGCCTATTTTTTCCTACTGTATTCATGAATACAGTAGCTTAAAATACATCTAATACATCTTATAACAACAGAAAACGTATCTACAATCCGTAATATAGCAAATGGTATCTATAGATAGCTAATTATCACTAAAAGATAGTGCTTTATGAAAATTTCTCTTTTAAAAATTATTCTCATACGTTTCACAATCCAACCGCAGCTGATCAGCCGATCCAATACCCTAACCCAGCCCGGTACACCTCATGAGGGCCAATCCGGCCCATTTAGCACCCATAAATTTTGGAAAAATTAACCTTAATAATCACACACCCTACCGCTTAAACAAATGAGCGAACTTCATTTGTAGCCACTAGGGCCAAACTTATATCACCTAATAGCCACAAAATAACCGCTTACAAGTAATAGCCTCAAAACAATAACAAAGGCTAGCAACTGAAAAAGCTGAAACTATACGCTCAACGCAAACGAAAAGGAAAGCAGTCGTAATCGATTTTGTATCCTAAATTCACGCGTTCAGTATGGGATCTTCAACCTCCAAACACTTTAAAAGTCGCCCAATTATTCACATTGTGAAAAAATTCTTGGGTTTCTGAAGATTAAACCCAGAGAAGAGCTCCCAAAAATTCACGCTGAAATTCAAAATTTTTGCACAATTTTTGCCTACAATCAGCTTAATAGAGTTGAGATTTCGGTCTTAAATTGTGAAATTGATACAAAATCGACAAAATCAACTAATGTCTATGGAGATTGTAAATGTTAGAACTACCGTTCCAACTTTGATTCCGGTTTTACTTCAACACAGTGGTGAATGGGTAAGTAGAGTAAATTTGTTAATTTCCTTGTTAATGGCGTGTTGATCAATTCAGACTGTAGCTATGATTATTTTGTTGATGAGATATACAAGCAATTAGGTAGAGATCCAATTACAAGTGCAATGGAGATAAAATATACAGTGAAGGATGGCTATATAGCAATTCCAATATACAATGATATGAGCGTGCGCTTGTATATGGAGATGAAAAAGAAAAACCTGAATATCACTGAATATCCATTATGTATAACATTGAAAACTGTGTATTCAAGTGCTGAATACTCATATTCAAGTTCATACTCGGGTGGCAACTTACTCGCAACAACTTCGGCTGGAAACTTACTCGCAACAACTTCAGTTGGTTTACAATGTCAGAACGTAGAAGAAGTACACGGAACTAATATTGTTGAGATGATGGATAATCATGTAAAGGAAGACAAAATTGAGATATTGAAGGGAAATTGTATAATAGACAATCCACATCATGAAGAAATTGCAGAAGGTCAATTGTATTGGGACAAAGATATACTCATTAGTGTAATGAAGCACTACGCAATACGAGAAAAATATCAATTTATAGTGGATAGATCATCTATAACAAGGTATGATTTCTACTTATGAGATTGCACTTCTCTATAATTTTATGCATACAGATCTGTATAAAAATTATATAATTATTGTATAGTGTAATTTTATGTATACAGATCTGTATAAAAAATGTATAATTATTGTATAGTGTAAATTTATATCATACAGATCTGTATAAAAAATGTATAATTATTGTATAGTGAGATTGCATATGTATACAGATCTGTATAAAAAATGTATAATTATTGTATAGTGAGATTGCATATGTATACTGGTTGTTTATTTGAGACACAAGTGTAAAAATCTGAAGAAATGCATTATCATAACACTATATTTTAAATAGGTATTGTCTTACATGCGTGGATGAAAGTTGCAAATGGAGTCTTAGATCTTCAAGTCTACACAAATCAAATGTCTTCAAGGTTAGACGGTTCAATGATGTTCACACTTGCCCAGAGATGACTAGACTGTTTTCACAACGTCATGCTACTTCGTCTGCCATTGCAAAAATGATTTGCAACAAATATGCCAATCCAAAAACAATATACACTCCGGCAGACATCATGAGCGACATGAAACAACAGTATGAGATTAATATGAGTTACGTAAAAGCTTATAGAACAAAAGAAAAGGCGCTTGAACTACTAAGAGGGATACCACGCGAATCTTATAGAAAACTGCCGGGTCACTTGTATATGATAAATATGACAAATCCTGGTTCTTTCACAATGTTACATAAATCAGAGGGCGGGCGCTTCATGTATGTTATTGTCGCACTAAATGCATCAATCATAGGATGGAAATATTGTTACCCTATTGTAGTGGTTGATGGGACATTCCTCAAATCATCACACAGAGGAACAATGTTAACAGCTAGCGCACAAGATGCGGCAGGTGAATATGTTGCAGACTCGTATAATAATTATATATGGTATAGATAGTTCTTATCTGTGTATAACAAAAATAACATGTGGATGCTTTCTTATTTGCTTAACCAGGTAAAATTTTTCCACTAGCATACGCTGTTGTAGATTCTGAAAATGATGCTTCCTGGGAATGTTTTTTTGAAATGTTTAGACAGGCTTTTGGGGAAAGGGAAAGGATGTGCATCGTATCGGATCGTCATGCAAGCATATTGAGGGGTGCTTCGATTGTGTATCCAGAGGTATCTCACTGTGTATGCATCTTTCATCTTTGGAATAACATAAAGAAGCAGTTCAAGAAGAACCATGACCGGCTGAGGGAAGTATTTTTTGCAATGGCCAGAGCATACAAAATTGAAGATTTTAATCGCCTCATGCAAGATATGGACAACATTGATAAGAGGTAAGGGGTTACCTAATCTAAGTTGGTTATGAAAAGTGGTCTATAGTGCATTCCACTGTTAATAGATCCATGGTGATGACTTCAAATATTGCCGAGTCACTCAATGCAAGGAACAAAGAGGCAAGAGAGCTACCAATCATGAGTTTGCTAGATTACATGATGAATTTGGTTATGGAATGGAATAATACAAATAGAATGACTGCAATGAGTACATTTATTGGCGTAGGAAAAAAATATCATGAAGTACTGAAGGAAAATAGCTATTTGTCGCAGAAGATGACGGTAAATATTCTTTTATCATGTCTTACTTCATACGCCGGTAGTAACATACTTTGAACAAAAATGCATTAATACTTGTTCATATCCCTGTTTTAGTTTTACTAATGATATCTATTTAAATTTAGGGAAAATTTTAATGACTAAAACGAAATGCAGAATTCATCAGAAAATTGACAATCTAAAAAATAATTAAATAAGGGAAAAAGGGGTCCTAGGTTTGTTAAAATACATGGATCATCCACGCCAACACCCGGTAACCAATTGTACGCGTGTGTTATCGCATGATCATCATCTCACAAGTCTACCCTTTCCCACCCCGTTAAGGTATTAAAGCGCGGAGATAGTTATCGTTACTTATTGCATTTCTATTTACCCCGTCCCGATCCTATCAGTTCCGGAGGCATTCGAACTACTAGTCCTAAAGGGAAGGAATTGGGGCTTTTTCAGAAGTTCAAGAAAAGGGATAAAAATCTAGGCGACAATCAAAACATATAGTCAAATAGGGGGAGACAAAAACAGCAATTACGGCTCAGACATGGCCTCCTCACTTAAATGCAAATACATAGCATGACTTCAGATACTGGTTAGTGTCTTTTTTAATTAAACTTAATTAAAGGTTGGGGGGGATGTTGGTGACCATGCTGAATCTGGGGACTTCGTGCCTCATTTTCTGCAAAACAAAAGGTTAGACCCTTTTTCCCCCACCGACTCGACTATTTAATGTTCAATAATTAGCATAACAAAGCATTTAGTTCTCCAAATAAATGCATAGACGTACGTATGGTAGCGTCCGTTTGGTTTCAAGGAAACCCAGTGGACTTTGACAAGGCTATCTTAAAGAGTCATTATGCGGACAACATAACTGACTCGGCTAAGTTTGACCATGATGCATGCACAATTTTAAAGAGAAATGGTTTCTATGGGTATTAGACAAGGTACCTTGACGGACAACTCAAGAGGGAAAGGGCCGGAACCGTCGACTACACCGTGATCGACTAGTTTTACCGCAAATATGCCTTTGCCAAATTTAGGGGGTGATAATATGGAAGAGCGCAACCACTCATTATAAGCGTTGCTATGGTCTTTTGTTTGGCACGAGGGAATATGATGTTCGAAAAAATGCAATACAATAATTAAAAAATTGTTCATGTACTTTCACGTTCATAAAATAATGCTTACAATAATTGCAGTTTTTTCAACAGTATTGTGAAGTAAAGCGATAAAAGAAAGCATTAAAGAAAAGAAACAAAGGAACCAAGTTAGTTTCGCAATAGAAGAAAGAATAAATACTTAAAAACAAGTAAAGACATGTAAAGAAGCATGAAGTCACAAATAGCATGAAATGGTAAAAGCCTTAAAGAAGTCCCCAGCAGAGTCGCCATGCTGTCGAAGCCCCCTTTTTCTTTTAAAAGGCGAAATCGGGTTTACCCACATTTGGGAGGACAACTTTCTTCCCTTTTGGAAATTGGGTTTTGGAGTTTGAAGAGTCGCCACCTAATGATTAAGTGCATTAGGACACTAAGAAGGGTTTGAGTTGAATAACCAGAGTTTGGGTAAGGGCTAAAAATTATCTCGAGGGGAAGGTGTTAGGCACCCCTCAAGATCCACTAGTGTGGTTCCCGACCATGCTACAATTGTGACTTTAAAGCAAATAAGCATACAAGTCAATTTCACATAAAGACTGCAAGTGGGTATGTATAACGGTTACTAAGCATGCTGAAATTTGAATAGGTGACTTCCTAGTTATTGGCAAGAATGTCTAAATGCAGAAAAATAGGATCAAGTAATGAATACAAATTATCAAACAAGGAAGGGAATGAGCAGAAAATTTTAGAGGAAAGGACAGTGCGAAAATTAAAGGGGGAATTTTAATGACTAAAACGAAATGCAGAATTCTGAAAATTGACAATCTAAAAATAATTAAATAAGGGAAAAAGGGGTCCTAGGTTTGTAAAAATACATAGATCGTCCATGCAACACCCGGTAACCAATCGTACGCGTGGTATTATCGCGTGATCATCATCTCCATGTCTACCATTTCCTACCCCGTTAAGGTATTAAAGCGCGGAATAATATCGTTACTTATTGCATGCTATTACCCGTCCCGATCCTATCAGTTCCGGAGGCATTCGAACTACTAGTCCTAAAGGGAAGGGAATTGGGGCTTTTCAGAAGTTCAAGAAAGGATAAAGATCTAGGCGACAATCAAAACATATAGTCAAATAGGGGGAACAAACAACAATTAGGGCTCAGACATGCCTCCTCACTTAAATGCAAATACATAGCATGACTTCAGATACTGGTTAGGTCTTTAATTAAACTTAATGAAGGAAAGGTGGCTGATATATCACATATTTTCAGATAAGAAGTCCGAATTAGATTTTCCTGCTGGCTATAATTATTGAAGACTGGTGTAGTTAGTTAATTACCTAGTGGCTTGCCTAGGTGAGGTCTGTAATCATGATATCCAACAATGCAGAAGGCGTACTGATTTTAAGGAGGATTATTGATTTTAGAAACAAACAAAAGTTCTGCAGATGTTAAAACGACTTTACCACTGATTCTGGACTTACTAGCAAGATGGACGATTCAGATTCAGTTAGTTATTCCTATAGGCATGCTCTCTAAGCGTGATTGATTTTAAAACATTTGTAAGAGTGCAGGATTCCTATAGACATGGTATCTAGAGTGCATTTTGTTATTTGGGCCTATAAACCGTTTGCCTAGTGATAAATGATGTGCAGAAGTGCAGAAAACCCTATAGTCATGGTCTCTATATGCAGGTGTGAATAAACTTATGGACATGATTTCTAAATGCAGATGTGAATAAACTCATAGACATAATTTCTAAATGTAGATGAATAAACTTATAGGCATGATTTCTAAATGTATAATGAAATGACCTATAAGCAGGATATCTATATGCAGATACACAAACGAAGATGATATGATTGCAGGAATAAAACCTAAAGCATGATATCTACCCCACATGCATAACATGAGAGACCCTCCCCATTTACTATACGCCCCATAGTTATTACAAAGTTATTACAACTTGAATGAATCCAGAAAAAGTAAATTACATCAAAAAATTAAAATTCCAACCAAGGAGAGCCTAATTCAGACTCCTAGTCTGATACATGAAATAGACCAACTTCCAAAGAGCAGATTTCCAAAGCCTTTCTCTTATCTGGGATGTGTCAAAGTTCCAAGGAGCTTCACGAACTCCAGGCAATGCTTACACCCCAAATACCATTACAGAATCATAGTGCAGTGTGGAAAGGCCAGCCCTCAAATGTCCAAGTTCAGAGGGAGCTCAAGGTCCCAAAGCAAGGCTCATAGGAGGGGGCAGAACTTAGAGTCTAGGAGTAAGTGTAAGTGCAATAGGGGGAGATTAGGGAAGGCCATGGCATGCTGGTGGTCATGCCCAACAATTGGGATGCTGGCACACCCCTGACCAGCCTGTCAGCTTTAAATTGGGGAGTTAGGACCTATTGAAGGTCGGGTTCAGCCCTGGACAGCAATTTGGGTGCTGCCAGGTCATGAACTTTAACTCAGTATACATAGGGAATGGGGGTTCATAATAGAAACAGGGTACAAAGAAAGAACAGGCAAAGGGCATACCCAGCAATGAGACATACTGGCACACTCTCCAGCCTAACTAGAGGCTAGGGGGTCAAAACTCAGTTCATGGACAACAATTCTTGTTGCCATGCCCTAAGTCCCCACTCACAAACACACATGGGGTAATGGGATAGGGAACAAGTGTTTACAAGAAAGAGAATCAGGCAGTAGCATATAGGCATATCAAGTTAAATGCTAAACTTTACAGAGAAAAGAAAATAAACATGGATACAAGGACTTTAAATAAAACACATTGGGATGATGCTGAAAAATTAATTTAGGACATACCAGTTTCACAGAGACAAGTAAAGAGAGAGCAGTAGTCTCATAAAAAAAGCCAAAGTGCAAACAAGAGGCAGGAATACTCTAAGTATGCCTTCAGAAGAGAATTGTGAAATTGTATAGTATGAAGTATGTTTTTAATCGTGTTCTCGTGTGTGTCTTGTGAAAGAGGGTCGTGTATTTATAGTGTGAAAGTCATGAGAAAATAAGGTAAGAAAATAGAAGCATGATTGTCAATCAATTACATAAGACTCCCCTTAATTAAGGGATTCAGATTCAAACGGTACAAACTAATTAAGGAAAGAAATTAAACAAACCTGTGTGCAAAGTAGCAAATCAGAGGGAAGTACATGGAAGTTATTTAAGGACAGGGTCTTGACAGTACACGATTTATGCAAATAAGGTAAGAGAATCATTTGACAGCCAGTAAATCACAAAGGTCTGAAATTTGGTATGAGTGAACCAAGTCGCAAAAATAAAGAAGGGTTTTACCTATGCCAAATCATCTATATTCAGAAGGAGGTTTACGCTAATTGCAAATTTAAAGACCAATTAGAGGGAAATTCATCATATATAAGGAGCATGTGAGTATGAAAGAAGCCTGTCGTGTAAATCAGCATAAAATCCAGTAGCAGAGTTTAGAAGAGTTTATCAAAAGTCAGAATCATATGAAACTCCGAAATTATCCTAAAAGAGTTGGGGGTTTTGAAATAAGAATCCTAGTTTAGGCAAATCACAAAAGAGAGCAAGCAATTGGATCAAAACATGTATAGCAAAGAAATATGCAATCACAGTAGAAGGATTCAAAGCACACAATGG